AACATCCTACTACAATGATATATGTGCACCCATACTTATAGCAGTGCAATTTGTCATAGCTAAATCTTGAAAACAACCCAAATGCCCATCAGCTGAGGAGTGGATAAAGAAGAGGGGGTATTTTTACCCAATGGAGTATTACTCAGCTATAAAAAAGGATAAATTGAGACTTTTATTGGTAAATAAATGCAGCTAGGGACCATACTCTTAAGTGAAATAAATCAGACCCACATGTGCAAACATCATATTATCTCACTACTGTAAGAACATAAAAGAGTAAATAAAATCTGAAAGATGCAATAGATAACGTGAAAAGGAGAAGAATCTGTTCAAAGGGAAGGCAATACTGAGATAAGAAGGATAGGAGAGGGAGGGAGGTGGTAAAGTGATATATCTGTATGAATACAGGATGGCTTAGATAACTGTACTGGGAATTTCTGCTCATCTATAGAAATGAGCACTTAATGCTAATTTTTTTTCTCTTAATCTCATAACTTGTTTAAAATTTTGCATGCATGTCTCAGTTCTAGACAACTAATTTGAAGACAACGCTGTGCAATACAACAATTCATATTATTTTGTTTAGTGAAATTCTGTATCATTTCTAATTTTTTATTTTGTATTCTCTTTAAAAAAAGTAATTAAAACTTAAAAATTAACTTAGTTTATGGTGCCTTTGTTGTACAAAAACTATTTATTTTTGGCTTATATTTCTCTTTTCCTTTTTTTTTTTTTTTTTTTTTTTGATATCAGGAATTGAACTCGTGACCTCAACGCTTGCCAGGCATGTGCAAGTTATAACCCCAGCTCCTCCATTTTCATTTATAGCTTACTAAAAAGTATCCAACCAATATTTTTAGGCCTAGGGATATGGCTCAGTGGCTTAAGCACCTGCCTGGAAAGCACAAGTTCCTACGTTCAATTCCTGGTACCAGAAAAAAATCATTTATAGCTTACTTACGTGTTCTAACAGCAACAATATTTCTTAAATCTCTATTCAATTACATTTATCATTTTTAATGATTAGATTTTAAAGTCCATCTCTGATTTTTTTATGTAGTATGAGGAAAGGAATCTCATTTTTTAAAAAAATAGCTAGTAGTGCCATCTCGTCTTTCCCCCACTCATCTGAAGATGTACCCTTATTGTATTCTCAATTACCAAATTTTTTTGGTCTCTCTTCAAACTTACACCTCTCATCTACTCCACCTGTTTTTAGGCTTTCCACTCATACATATCTGTTCTCATGCCAGTATTCTAACTGCTGTTGCTGTATAGTATACTTGATATATTTTTTTAAAATAGTCTTGTGCTCTTGCCCATTTAGTATTCCAAGAACCTATAGAACTACCTTTGAGTTCCTTTTATATCAATTAGATTAGCAAGAGCTTGTTTTCTAATGTTGATCCTTGTTTATGTAGAAACATGGTCTGTGCTCTCCATTTATATTTTTACTAGGAACATTTTTGTTGGGTTTGTTGTAATTTTTCTAACTAAAGTCTGTTGTTTTGATAGGTGAAAATAATATATCGTTTAATTTGCACTTTGATTCTAGAGAAGTTATTTTTTTTTCTGGTACTGGGGATTGAACCCAAGGCCTCTCAGATGCTAATAAGCAAGTACTCTACTACTGAGCTAACTCTGCAGCCCTTTTAGTTTTTTAACTTAGAGATTAGGGGCTGGTGAGATGGCTCAGTGGTCTAAAGCACCTACTTAGAACAAGCTTAACAAAGCACAAGGACCTCGGTTCAATCCCCCAGCACCACATGCCAGCCAGCCCCGCCCCCTGGTGGGCTGAGCTGGCCCCCCCCACACAAATAAATAAATAAATAAATTTTTTAAAAAAAGATAATTTAAAAAAAATAACTTAGAGATTAGATCTTATTAAGTTGTGTTGACTGACCTCAAATTTTTAATCTTCCTCCCTCAGCCTCTCAAGTAGTTGGTACAGGTGTGTGCCTCCATGCCTGGCCGAAATTAAATATTTAAAAATATGTTTTATTAACTACATATACTTCATGAAAGATTTTTAAAATGTTTTATTAACTACATATACTTCATAAATTTTCTCATCACCTCTTCGATCCATTTTTCCAGTGGAGTCTTAATTGTATATGAATTTATATATGATCTTTGTCACAATATAGGAAATACTGTTCTAGTTTATTGTTTGACTTTTGATTCACCATTATTCTTCCTACTTTCCAGAAATTTGAAAATTGAACAGTTAAATCTACTAATCCCTCGCAATTTTACTGTTGATATTAAAGTCCGCTAAAATTTTTTTCTTAAAAAAAAATAACAACAACAACAAAGGGGCTGGGGAGACGGCTCAGTGGAATAAGCGCTTCCCTGGCAAGCACAAGGGCCTGAATTCAGTCTCTGGGTCTGCCAAAAAAAGAAAAAATTAAATAAAATAAATTTTTTTCCTTAGTAATTCCATGTGAAGGCAAAAGATGTCATGTGGAAAACTAATCTTGTGTGCTGTTAATAGAATCAGTTCTTAAGTAATTTCTTTTAGATGTTAAATAATGCAGTGTTATGGTATTTGTGATTTTTATTATAGATAACAAAATGTTACATACACAGTGGTACCTCAGTTTGCGAACTTAATTTGTTCTGTGATTTTTGGAAAAGATAGCCACATTTGTATTTGTGTGGGTAAGGTGACCATGGTCATGTTTGTCATCTGATTCAGTTTACAAACAAAAACAAAACATTGCCAAACATTTCTTTTTCTGAACCAAATCATTTGCAAACAAAAATGTTCACTTTAAGACTAGTTTTGGGCAAGTATAAGTAATTCTTACAGCTTCAATGACATTTTGTATCTTAATGTCACTTTGAATATTTAAAATGGATAGTATGCTTTGATGTGAAATTTGCTGCAGTGTTATGGTCAGGAAATATGTTTTAATTCTCTGTCTGCATAGGAAGAGTTATTTACATAATTTATCTTGTTCTCTGTAAATTATTGTCCAATAACTTACACCTCTTACCCTTAAATCCCTCAATCCCATCATAGGTGAAGTTCCATTCTTATAATTTAAGTGTTTTGAGGGCTGGTCAGGTAGCTCAGCAGATTAAAGCACCTGCTTAGGCAGATGCAGAGATCAGGGTTCAAGCCCTGGTGTTCTGTGCTGGCCCCACCCCCAGGGGGGTGCTGAGATGGTGATTAAAACTATGTGTGGTGGCATGCGCCTGTAATCCCAACACTTGGGAGGCTGAAAACTGGAAGATCACTATGAGTTCAATCTGTGTAGTTACACCCTGTACTAAATATGTAAAAAAAAAAAAAACTAACTATTTTGCAAAGGCTAACACTTGCAATTTCCCTGAGGTTTTACATATATCCAAGTATACTAGTTAAATGCCTTTTTCTTACCATATGTGCCTTCTATTTCCAAAAAAAGTGATTTAATGTGATCATAGATGGGGATTATAGATGTGTGCTGGGGATATGGCGCAGTGGTAGTGCAATTGCCTTATATGCACAAGGCCCTGGATTCAATCCCCAGCACCAAAGAAATAAAAATGCTGACATTTGTAAAGTAATCCCAGCACCCTAGGAGACCAAGGCAGGAAGATCTTGAGTTTGAGTCTGGCCTGGGCAGCTCAACACCTAAGCAAGACGCTGTCTTGACACTTTTTTAAATATCCGGGGCTGCGACTCAGTATAAAAACCGTCAGTTCAATTTCCACTACTGCCAATAAATAGACAGGCCAGCAGGCAGGCAGACTTTAGCATCTGAGAGGAGAAATTGATATGCTTTTTTGTTAAGAAATTAGTCTCAAGAATTATAATGAATAATATGGTAAAGGAAAAACCAATGAAATTGCTAGATGGCTATGCCTAGAATTTTTACGGTTTGACTGTAACACAAGTAAGAACTCAATTGGGTTTTTTATGTATTTGGTACAGGATCTCACTATACAGCTCATACTCATGGTGATCCACTTATTTTCTGTCTCCCCAGGGCTGAGATCATAGGTGTGCATCACTATGCCAGGTCTCGGTGATGGGCTCAGAGCACCTGGGGACAGGGCTGGGCCAGGGATCGAACCCTGGTTCCTGCACTTGCCTAAGCAGGTGCTTAGTCCGCTGAGCTATCTTGCCGGCCCTAGGAATTCAGTTTTACATCTTTTTTAGAACTTAAATACATTCTCTATGTACAGTAGACCCTTAATAAATATTTGTAGTTAATCCTTTAATGAAATAGCTTCAGTTAGTGCTAGAAATTATTTTCAGATTGCTGGGAAATATAATTCTGAGGTTTATACATTAAATTTTGTTCAGCCCATCCAAGTATACACAACTAACTTGGAATATTTCCTTTCTGTCCCTTGTGTTAGAAACTCCTTTTATACTTAATATTTGTTTAATTACTTGATCAATTCAATTATAGATGACATCTTTGTTAAATTTGTTCATTCAGTTTTCGTGATGATTGAAGAGCTATCCAGATGAGTACTTTCCTGCACTGATGGAAGCAGCCATGTCTGTGCAGCTCAGTACTGTTGCAGTTAGTCACATGTGGGGAAGTGGGGGATGAGCTCTTGGAAAGTGGTCAGTGTGATTGCAAAACAGATTTTACTTGTATTATAAATGACTTTAAAGTACAGGAAAGCAAGGCAGTGTGGCGGCACACATCTATGATCTTAGCACTCAGTAGTCTGAGACTGAATCTCCCTGGCTTACTTAAGGAGACTCCGTCTCAGAAGAATAAAAGACAAAGTAAAATCATGCAGTTAAGATCACAAAACTCATTTTTACAAAATAGAAAGTCAAAGGAAATAATTAAGGTTACAGTGATTATAATAAACTTTTTGTTTTATTTTTGTTGCATTTATCTGAAATATTAGGTTGCTGTGTTAATTATGACAAACCATTTTCCCTCATTTCTAGTGATTTCATTGTAAATAAAATCAAGGTCCTGTGAATTAATAAACTCATGCTGCTTTTAAAATTGGTCCATACAAAGTTATTGTTTATTTTTAAGCAGCTGATTTAGAAGAAAGTTTTAATGAGCATGAACTGGAGCCTTCATCTCCAAAAAGTAAAAAGAAAAGCCGCAAAGGAAGACCAAGGAAAACTAATTTTAAAGGATTATCAGAAGATACCAGGTCCACATCTTCTCATGGGACAGATGAAATGGAAAGTAGTTCCTATGTAAGTAAGAAATTACTGGATTCTTACTTTTTGTTACATCATGACTATTTCATTTAAACTGTGTTTATAGGTAGGGTTTATCATTAGAAATGTTGATAAAAGGCTGGCCAAATAACTCAGCTGATTAAAGTGCCTGCTTAGGCAGATGCAGGGACTAGGGTTCAATCCCTGGCCTGCTGTGCAGGCCCCACCCCTAAGACTGCGACTGAGACTTGTCAAAGTGGCATTCACCTATAATCCCAGCACTTGGGAGGCTGAAAAACAGGAAAGATTTCTTCAAGTCCGATCTGTGTAGTGAGACCCTGTAGACCCTGTATACATAATACATTAAAAACGTTAATTAAGCTTGAAATACTGATAGCATTTTTCTTTTTTTTTTTAAATTTTATTTATTTATGTGTGTGTGTGTGTGTGTGGCCAGCTCAGCCCACCAGGGGGCAGGGCTGGCTGGCATGTGGTGCTGGGGGATTGAACCGCGGTCCCTGTGCTTTGCTAAGCTTGTTCTAAGTAGGTGCTTTAGACCACTGAGCCATCTCACCAGCCCCTGATAGCATTTTTCAAGTACATTTTTTCTTTTCCATTTGCAGAGAGACAGGTCTCCACACAGAAGCAGCCCCAGTGACACCAGGCCTAAATGTGGATTTTGTCATGTAGGGGAGGAAGAAAATGAAGCAAGGGGAAAGCTGCATATATTTAATGCCAAGAAGGCAGCTGCACATTACAAGTGCATGGTAAGCATGGTTCTTTTTAGGTGCTTTTTTTAAAAAACAATACTGAGGGTTGAACCCAGGACTTTGGATATGCTAGGAAAGCACTATAGAGCTGAGCTGTGTCATGCCCACACTTTTTGAAAAATCATTTAGTAAATGTCTTAGTTACTTTTTACTCGCTGCTGGGACAAATACCCGACACTCAAAATGAAGGAAGGAAAGGTTTCTTTAGCTTACAGTTACTGGAGGGTTCAGTCCGTATTCCGCTGGCTCCAAGGCAAACAACAGCAGTTCATGCGGCAGAAAACAATGAAGATCAGAGGAGCAGCAGCTGCAGCAGCGTCCATCATGTCTCTCTCTTTCTTCTGTGCTGACTGTTAAGACCAGCGTTCCACAGTGAAGATCGGAGCTCCTTCAAAGTGGCGAGGCTGCGAAGGTCAAGCTCCTCTAAAGACTGACTTCTCCACAGAAGCGGGGTGGGGCGGGACGGGAAGGCAGGAAACCAGGCAGGGCAGCTTCCTGCCTTTCTCAATTCCTGGGCCCTGCCCACCTGCAGGGTGAGGCCCCCATGCTGAGAACTGCCAGAGCTGATTCAGCCAAGTTGACACAATGTATCAACTAACACAGTCCATCCCTTGTCAACTTGGCAATTAGACATATACTTTTTTAAGCCAATTTCCAGGTACATAGACATGCTTAAACATTTTACAAATTGAACATTGCATTACATTAGAACCATGACATGTTACTCCTGGCCCTCCAAAGACTCATGCACAACCGTTTATGCAAAAGACATTTTAGTCCATCTCTAAGAGTCACCAAAGTCCTACCAGTTTAGGCAACACTGAAAAGTCAAAGTCCCAAGCTTCCAAGATCTAAGGCAAACTCTTAGTTGTGAGCCCCTCTACAAATGAAAAGTTAAATACTTCTGACATTCACAGGCACAAGATAAGCATTGCCATTCCAAAAGGGATACACAGCAGGATACAAACACCTGGGACCAAAACAAGTCCAAGGTCCAGAAGGGCAAACGTTAAGTCCTGTACTTCCCTGTGGACCATCGCTCCAAAAGCCTTATGTGGCTCCACCCCTATGGCACTTCTGCGGGTAGCTCCTATGGCTTTTCTCTCAGGCCTGCTTTGCTCCCTTTTTGCAGCTTTTTTTAGACCATCCACATTCCTGGCTTTTTCAAACTTCTGAGGTTTCCACTGAGTAGGCTTCTCACTCACAGCTTCACACACTGCCTCTCAGGGGCACAGTGCCTGGCCTCTCAGGCCTTCTGAAATCTGGGCGGAAGCCTTCTGAACCTCAGAACACTTGCATTCCTCATGCACCTACAACCAAAGCCATGTGGATGATGCCAAGGGCTGCTGCCAGCTGGAGCAGAAGCCAGGGTTTCCTCTCTCTTGGAGTGCGTGGATCGCTGAGCACTCTGACCCTGATCCTGAGAAACAAATTCTCTATGCCGGCACCATTCTGCAATCTGATGTGGCTGCCGCCTCCATTCTGGAACCTGGTATGGCTGCTGCCTCCATTCTGGAACATGGGTCTCTGCAGCTTTCTCCTCAAAGCAAAGTCCCTCACCCTTGCCATTCTGAGGCTGCAAAAGGCAAGAACCTGCCGCCTCCTGTGATGCCCTCAGGACATCTTTTCTACTCTCCTGTTCCTTCTCAGCAATAGAGATCCTCTCAGCTCTGTCTTCACGGTCCACAGCTTTCCTGGGGCTTCCTTTCTGGCCAAACTCACAACATTTTAAATCATCCTTTTGGGCTCTTTGCTCTTGATTCTCATAAATCTGGCTAAAAGCCCCCAGTAACAACCAGGCCACTGCCCCAATATTTGGCTGCCTTGGAATTTCTTTTCCAAAATTAACTAGTCCACTGTGCTTAATTTCAGTCTCAGGCAAAGTCTCTGGACAGGAGCAAAATGCAGACAAGCCTTCTGCCAACCCATAACACAAATCATCTGCACTCCAACAACCAATGCTGTCCTTCTTCCCAACAGAAACCTCCCCAGCCTGGTCTTTACAGGCCGGCTTTCAATCAGCCTTCTGGTCTTCTGAGCTCTGACCAGAATCTCCCATACAGAACAGCCGAAGCTGTTCCAGTGCTTCACATGTAGACGACATCTCTGAACCTTTCCTATCTCTTCCCATAAACCATTCCCAAAAGCTTGTAATCCACATGATCAGGTTTAGCCATAGCAATGACTCCACTCCTGGTACCAAATTCTGTCTTAGTTACTTTTTACTCATTGCTGGTACAAATACCCGACACGCAAAATGAAGGAAGGAAAGGTTTCTTTAGCTTACAGTTACTGGAGGGTTCAGTCCGTATTCTGCTGGCTCCAAGGCAAACAACAGCAGTTCATGCGGCAGAAAGCAATGAAGAGCAGAGGAGGAGCAGCAGCTGCAGTGGCGTCCATCAAGTCTCTCTCTTCCTTCTGTGCTGACTGCGAAGACCAGCACGTGCCACAGTGAAGATCGGAGCTCCTCCAAAGTGGCGAGGCTGCGAAGGTCAAGCTCCTCTAAAGACTGAGACTTCTCCACGGAAGTGGGGCGGGAGGGCAGGAAACCAGGCAGGGCGGCTTCCTGCCTTTCTCAATTCCTGGGCCCTGCCCACCTGCAAGGTGAGGCCCCCATGCTGAAAACTGCCAGAGCTGATTCAGCCAAGTTGACACAATGTATCAACTAACACAGTAAACAAATGGAAAATTTCCCCCTAGCATTAGTATTTCACTTATGAAGAATGATATCCTGTAAACTTCAGACTTTGAAAAAATAGCCTTTATATTTTAGTAGGATTTGAAGTAACACTAATTATTATGACCATATTCAGTATAATCCATCAGGCTTGCTGCGATTATTAATAATTATTTCACAGCTGTAAGAATTTCATCGTTATGAATATGTCATGAAAGATATTCCAGGCTTTTACTATAATATTTTTTTTTCTTTTTTTCTTTTTTTTTGTGGAACCGGGGATTGAACTCAGACCCTTGCACTTGCCAGGGAAGCGCTTATTCTACTGAGCCATCTCCCTGGCCCCCACTATAATATTATTGTGATTAGCACTTTTTTGCAATTATCTATGATAAACTTTTCCTAATAGTTGCTTCAATTCCTTAAAGATAAGAATAAGGTGAAGTTGCTTTATATTTGATTTCTTAAATCCAGGTCTGACTTAGAGTGTGCAACTTTTTGTGCTGCAATATTTTGAGTTATATTGTATTAAATCACTCATCCCATTTATAGTTAGGTTTTTTAAAGTATTTACATCAGATGTTTTGACTAAAGTGCATGTAAGATTTACCTGGGAAGTTTCTTCCAAATATGTGTGCCTGGAACTCCCTTAGAGTACATTTTAGACATGTCTGTTTTGAAAAGAAACAAAAAATGAGGAGATTCTCATCAGCTTCTTTGGTTGAAATTTTCTACTTAAACTAGTTTTTGAAACTTTATGGAAATATGAAATAGTTGACAATAGGATGATATTGTTAATCTTCACTGTTTGATGCAGAGAATTTAATCTTGGCTACTCACTGACAGTCTTAGTATTTTTTCCCTTGGGTTCTTATTTTGGGTTGTATTTTAATCAGCTATGACTAGTAAAACATTTGACTTATAACTATTAAGAAAAATTATTTTTTGCTGTAGAAATTTGAGCAGTATAATGTATTCATTGTTATCTTGTTTATTTTTTTTTCATAAGGACACTGAATAATATTATTTGTGCATTTTTTTCCCTAGTTGTTTTCTTCTGGTACAGTCCAGCTAACAACAACATCAAGAGCAGAATTTGGAGATTTTGATATTAAAACTGTACTTCAGGAGATTAAGCGAGGAAAAAGAATGGTCTGTGATTTTTATATTTGTGTTATGCCACATTACTTTTGATTCTCAACTTCCAGCATATCTCAGATATATCGAGTCAAGGGCCAGTGAGATAGCTCAGCAGACTAAATGCCTGCTTAGGCAAGCGCAGGGACTGGGGTTCGATCCCTAGTAGCACAGTCTGTGTTGGCTTTGCCCCCGAGTGTGCTGAGCCAGCCACAGAGACTGGGCATTGTGGTGCACGTCTGTAATCCCAATTCTGGGGAGGCTGAAAACAGGAGGATCACTGAGTCTGAGCTGGGTAGTAAGACCCTGTACTAAATACATAAAAAAGAACTACTTCAAATATATTGTCATCAGGAAATTTAATATAAAGTAGTTCTCATGTTAAAACAATATATATTTGACTTACATAGAATATAATAGTGTACATCTGTTAATGTTGCTGAAACAACATTATGCAACTTTAGGTTGCATAAACCTTTTTATGCAACTTTATTTCTTAATACAAAGAAGCATTACATTTCAAGGTATTTGCAGGTAGTTTAATAAAATAAATGAAAATATGAATGTGACAAACCTTATAAATTTTAAAGTGTTACATTATATAAGCTTGCTTAAAGACAAATTCCATAAGCCTAATGCAGCATTACAAACTACCCAATATTGTTAATTCTTCCTTTTATTTTAATAAAAAGTTTCTGAGGTCTTCTGTTTAAATTATATATAAACACTTACATCTCCTAAAATGTTTATTACAACTTTAAAGTTTCCTATAATAAAATATGCTTTAGTCTCATGTTTTTAAATATACAGAACTACTAAAAAGAAACTTAAATACTGGTGTCTTTATTAATCATTTATTCCTTTAAAGCTGATGAATATAAAATGTCAGTGGAATGCAAAGTCTTTTCTTTCAGACAGCAATCATCTTTAGAAATGACTTAATTTTTCAATATTTTGTTATGGAAATTTTAAAACATCTAAAGAAGAAAGAATAGTAACACATCTACCCATCACCTTGATCCAGCAATTATAAAGTATTTGTGGCACTCACTTTATCTATGTCTTTAATTCTTGTAGTCTGAAGTATTTTAAGGCAGAGCTCAAACTGCGTAACTTCCACGTCTATATACTTCAGTGTACATCTCTTAATTGGACATTTTCTTAGCGAACAACATCATATACCTTATAAGTTTGTGGTAACCAGTTCCTATTTGTATTTCCCCAACTATGTCAAAACTCTAAAGTTGACTTATTTGAGTTGGATTCCAAAAAAAGACTATACTTTATATTTGGCTGTTATATAGCTCATCCTTTATGTAATATAGCACGGGATATTCACCCTCTCATGGTTGCTTTTGGTAATTTTTTATGCTATTGATTTGTTGAAGAAAATGAGTTAATTGTCATGTAGAATGTCCTAGAAATAACCCTCCTGTTTTAAAGAGTGAACATTCTTCTCTTTTTTATTTTGTTCTAGTTTAGTATATTGATACTTTGATTACTCTTTTAAAAAATGATACTTTACAAAACAACCTGTAGTACTAAAAACATGGGAAATCATTTATCCTATAATGCAGAATTATATCATGCACTAAAGTTCAACTAGGTGAGAAGGACAATAATTCAACTCTTTTTGTAGTTTTTTGAGACAAGGTCTCACCATGTAGTTCAGGCTAGCCTTGAATTCACTCTGTAGCCCAGGCTGACCTCAAACAGCAAACCTCCTACCTCAGCCTCTTGAATGCTGGGATTACAGGCCTGCAACACTCTGCAAAACCCAGTAATTCAACTCGCTCGATCAACTTATTGCTCACCTCTGCACCCCTCATCTAGCATTTGTCTGATGTGTGCGCCAAGCTTGCTCCAAAAATAAAAAAGCATTTAGAGTTCAGTAAACTTGAAAACTTTTTACTGTATACTTCTTCCAAGAGAAAGGCCATCAGAAGTTCTACAATAAAGCAATCTACCTAAGCTAGTATTTTTCAAACATATTAAACATATTTGACTCTGAGATCCTTTTTCTCACCAGGTACCTTTTCATCTTACATCATTCTTTAGATGAGGCTGATACAGGTCATACCAAGACATCTTGAAAGATTTCACATACTTTAGGTTCCCTTTGTCCTGTTGCCTCCTTGGTAGTGACCCTTCTCTAAAGGGATTGCTTTTGCTGTTTTCTCATTGTTTACCCTAGTCAGAATAGAAAAAGGATCTGATTTGGGGAGAATAAATCAAACTACTGAAATATGCAATATTATTCTTTTTGGTTTTGGCATTATCAAGGAGTGCCTTCTCTGTGGAGTATTTATTTATTTTATTTTTTATTTTATTTATTTATTTATTTTGCGGAACCAGGGATTGAACTCAGGCACTTGCGCTTGCCAGGGAAGCGCTTATTCCACTGAGCCATCTACCCGGCCCAAATTAGGAGATTTTTTTTTTCGTTTCTTTTTGTTTTTTGGCAGAACCGGGGATTGAACTCAGACACTTGCTCTTGCCAGGGAAGCACTTACTCCACTGAGCCATCTCCCCAGCTCCTCTCTGTGTAGTATTTAGATGTCAGATCTCTCCTGTGTAGGATGTATTTTCTAGTACCTTGGCAGTTTATGAATGTTAAGTAATTGAAACATCAGGAGATGACTGTAGAAGGTTCAGCAAAATATGGTGTAAGTTGGAGTAGTATTATTATTAGTGATAGAGGGTGCAGGCTGGCCTTAAACTCACTATGTAACCCAAACTGGCCTTGAACTCACTGTGTAACCCAAATTGGCCTTGAACTCCCAGCAGTTCTCCTCCCTCAGCCTCCTAAGAGCTGAGAGTATAGGTGTGTGCCACCACACCTGGCTTGTTTTGTTTTGAAAGGGAGATTTCCTGGATTCAAGGGATACTCCTATCTCAGCCTGCTGAGATGACTGATCACACAACTATGTCTGGCTATAGTATTATCTTAATTATATGCTGTTAAATGGGTTCTGTGTATTCCTCTTTAAAAATAGAAAGTGACTGTACTTTGTTTTTTTAGGGTTTTGTTTTTTTGGTTTTTTTTTTTTTTTTTTTTTTTTGGTACAGGGATTGAACTCAGGACCTCACGCTTGCCAGGCAGGCGCTTAAGCCACTTAGCCATCTCCCCAGCTGCACTTTGCTTTATAAACTTATATATTTGGCTGAAATGTGAATAAAGTAAATAAATAAGATTGTCTAGCTGGGTGTGTAATTCCAGTACTTGGAAATGGCTGGGAATTCTGAGGCCACATCAGAAAGATTGCCATGAGTTCTAGGTCTTCTTGGGCTACATAGTGAGTTCAAGGCCAGCCTAAACTATACAGGTGGATTCTTTCTTCAACAACAACAATAAAGATTGCCTACACTCTGAAATATGGCTTATAATGATTCTTTTTCTTTCTTTAAATAGAAATGTACACTTTGCAGTCAGCCTGGTGCTACTATTGGATGTGAAATAAAAGCCTGTGTGAAGACCTACCATTACCACTGTGGAGTTCAAGACAAAGCTAAATACATTGAAAATATGTCACGAGGGATTTACAAGTAAGAAAATAATTGTCCCTTTTCTTAGAATTGTCAATAAGCTACTCTTTTAAATAGATGACACTAGTTGAGATGATCTCTGTTCTTTAGTGGTGTTTAGTCAAGTGTAGTGTACTGAGAATATAAGTCATGGGTACAGTGATTGCCATTACCTTCTTGCATAACCCTGGATTAGCATATGTTCACTCAATATTATGCTTACCCTGTGCCAGGCATTGTGCTAGGACCTGGGCATACAGCACCAACACTGACTGTGTTCTCATAAAGCATATAGTCTTGTCAGGAGAGACTGTTAATTAAA